GTATTTGAATATTGAGATTTCCCAGCTGGAAAGAAACAAAAGCGTTGATAGCTCACAGGGAAAATCTCAACAATTTTAAGGTGTTTTTTTCCACAAAATCTGGTTTTGGTTGCTAATGCTCAAAAAAAGTGCTTCAAAAAGTTTTTTGGGGATAATATTTCAGACAGTTCATTGAAATGATACATTGATAACACATTTATTTGTTATATTTTGACAAAATGTAATTTTTGCAAATGTTTTAATCAAAACATTATCTGCGTATTTCTCCACAACTTGTAGACTTAATCCTCGTTTTGATGTGACGGGTCACGTATTTGCTTTGAGTTCTAACCTGTAACGACCCTTTTTGGTAAGAAGCTCCTTGAACTGGCCCAAAGTTACGACACGACCTTTGACTGATGTTCGGTAAGGGATTGGCTCTCCACAGAAGTAGTACGCCACCGTCATGTTCTCACATACTTGTCGTTTTCCAGATTTATGCCTGAGAAAAACAGATATCCTTGTCAAAAACATAAAATACATATGTGAAACAGAAAAAGAAAAAAAAACATAAAAGAAATCTGATTTTGAAATGATAAAAATTGAATGTGTACTTCTGCTTGGCCTGCAGCAATGCGGCCCTCCTCCTCTCCTCCTCCAGCCTCCTCCTAGCCTCCTCCAGCTGAGTGAGGGGGTTGGGAGCTGGGTTGGGGGGCATAGCCGGGTCCTGAATGAAAGGATGCGAAGGCTGAACCTGAGTGGATGAAGAGCTAGGGATAGCTGTGGACACGGAGGAGGGATTGTTACGCAGCTGGGCGGACACCCAAGGGTGCACAGCTCCGGGTCGCTCCACTGAAGTTGGACGTGGCGTCTCGATGCTGGTTCCCGTCCTCCTGGAGCTGCTTGTGCTGCCGCTGGGTGACAAGATAAGAGAAATGCAATGTTAAAAAAAAAAACTACTTGTTGCAGTACAAGTGGAAATGGATCAACAAAACCAAGCAATGCAAACAAAAAATAAATAAAACAAATTAAAAAACATTTAACTGCAAATAACAGGGTTCATGCAGGTTTCAGTAAGCTAAAACGGGGAACAAACACCTCTTCACAAACTACAGACCTGTCTCATTACTACCTCAGTTCTCCAAAATTCTAGAAAAACTTTTTAATAACCGTTTGGATAAATTCATTGACAAACACAAATTAATCACAGAGAGTCAGTATGGATTCAGAGCTAACCGATCAACAGCATTA